TGCTGTTGGCGAAGACCTACATGTTGTAGTCGAATTGTGTTTTAATATGTAATTGTCGAATTGGGCCTTGTGTTAAGGATCCAATTGTTTAAGTTAACTTGTACCCTAAGTTAGCTTGTAATGGGTAATTGTTAAAAAGCCCATTAGTTTAGTATGTTAGGTTTTACTATAAATAACATACTAGTCTCTCATCATAAGTGTGGTGTGACAAATCCTAATTAGGGTGAGACGGTTATTTATTTTTCTTGAGTACTTGTAATCTGTTTTATAGAGAAAGTAAAGAATAACAGCTATAACCAATCCTTGTCGTTCTTCTTGTTTTTCCTTAACCCTAACCCTTGTGTGTTTCTTGATTATAAAGAAACCGTTTATACTTTGTTTCAAGGCATCCTAATTCACAACAAATTGGTGCGATGAGCATGGAGAAAGATGCCCTCAATACAGTATGAGATTGAAAAGTTCACCAGAGTGAACGATTTTAGTCTGTGGCGCTTGAAGATGAAAGCCATATTGGTTCAACATGGTTGTTTGGAAGTGTTGAAGGGAGAGGAAGCAATGGACGCTGCGGTAAGGGAAAAAGAAAAGACAATCATGATAGAGAAAGCCTACAACACAATATTGTTAAGCTTTGGTGATAAGGTTCTCTGATAGGTATCAAATGAGGCTACGACATCAGGGTTATGGTTGAAACTGAAAGTTTGTACATGACCAAATCTCTGGTGAATCAACTCTATCTAAAACAAGCTTTGTATTCATTCAAAATGAGTGAAGACAAATTTTTGGCTGAGCAGTTGGATATGTTCAACAAGATGATTCTTGATCTTGAAAATATTAATGTGAAGATCGATGATGAAGATCAAGAACTGTTGCTATTGTGTGCTTTGTCCAGAACACGTGCAAACTTCAAAGGAACTCTCCTGTATGGAAGGGAGTCCCTGAGTTTTGAAGAAGTTCAATCACCCTTGTATTCTAAGGACCTGAACAAACGAAAAAAGCATAAACCTTCAACGGCGGGTGAAGGTTTGACCATTAAGAGAAAGTTCTTGCGAAAGGATGGTAAGTTCGACAAGAAGAAAGGTAAAAGTCAGCAGAAGTCTTATAGTGGCAAAGCATCTGGTATTCGATGCTATCACTCTAAGAAGGAGGGTCACACAAAAAGATGTGCTCTGAATTCTTGAAAGATCATAGAGGTAAGGATAATGGCAACATATCCATTGTTAAAGATGACTTTGAATTATCTGATGTTCTTGTGGTTTCAAGCAGCGACTAAAGAAAAGAGTGGATTATAGATTCAGGTTGTACTTGGCACATGACTCTAAATAGAAAATTGTTCGAGGAGCTATCTGATCAAGATGGTGGATCAGTGCTGTTGGAAAACAACAAAGCTTGCAAAATTACATGTATTGGATCTGTGAGATTCAAGCTACATGATGAGTCAAAAAGGTTATTAACTGAAGTCAGGTATGTACTTGATTTGAAGAGAAACTTGATTTCTCTTGGTGAACTCGACAAGAAGAGATATATTTTTAAAGGAAGAAAAAGTATCCTAACAGTCATGAAGGGGTCGAAGGAAGTATTGAGAGGCGTGAAGAAACAAAAAGCCCTGTATACCCTTAAGGCTGCATCCACAAATGAAGGGGTCGAAAGAAGTATTGAGAGGCGTGAAGAAACAAGCCCTGTATACCCTTATAAGTGGTTCGACAAATGTTGCATCCACAAAACCTTTGTTAAAGACAGAAATTTAGCACATGAGATTGGACCATGTCAGTGAAAGGGGTCTGGTCGAATTGGGGAAACAAAATTTGCTTGGAGGAGACAAATTCGAAAAGCTAAAATTTTGTGAACACTGTGTACTTAGAAAATCTTGCAGAGTGAAGTTCAACAAGGAAAACAAAGAACCCATGGATCCCTTTATTACATCTATGATGATCTTTGAGGGTCTGCAAGGTGTCCATCACATTTAGGAGCAAGGTATTTTCTACCCATAGTCGATGATTATTTTAGAAAGTTATAGGTATTCATCCAGAAGACTAAGGATGGAACTTTTGAGAATTTCAAAGGTTGGAAGACTCTGGTAAAAAATCAGACTGGCAAAAAGGTCAAGAGGTTGAGGATCGATAATGGCCTTAGATTTTGCAATGAGGCATTCAACATCTTTTGTGCTACATCAAGTATTGCAAGGCACAAAACTACTGTAGGTACTCCACAACAAAATGGTTTGGCGGAAAAGTTTAGTCAAACTATTTTGGAAAGTGTTAGATGCATGTTGACTAGTGCTGGATTAAAGAAGGTGTTTTGGACTGAAGTTGTTTCGACAACAACATATGTGATAAACAGATATCCTTCGACTGTGTTAGATATGAAGACACTTGAAGAAGTTTGGCCGGGACATCCACCTAGTCTCGACAGACTGAGAGTATTTAGTTGTGTGGCCTATGCTTACATTAGGCAAGACAAGGTCGAACCTAGAGCTCTGAAATGCATGTTCATGGGATACTCTGAAGGAGTCAAAGCTTATAGTTATGGTGCCTAGAGCCAGGTCACAGAAGATGTATCACCAGTTGAGATGTAGTTTTTAATGAAGCAGAGATGGTCTTCAAGAAAACTGACGACGCTGACGAAGATCTAGAAAATAGAGAGACTCCTGTTAAGGTGGAGCATGTTGATGCTGAAATGTGTATCCCAGATGAAGTCGAAGAAGAAGATGATGTCGAAGATGAGGAGACTGATAATGACTACCTACTAGCTAGAGACAGGTCGAGGAGAGTCATCGAGTCACCTCAAAGACTTGGGTATACAGATCTTATAGCTTATGCCTTAATCTCAGTAAGTGAGGTTCTCGATGAAGAACCTAAAGACTATAAGGAAGTTATGCGGAGTCAAAAGAAGACTAAATGGCTGAAGGTCATGGATGATGAGATGAAATATCTTCATGATAATAACACATGGATGAAGCTTATGTGCGCAAGCTGAAGAGATCTTTATATGGACTGAAACAATCTCCTCGATAGTGGAATAGAAGATTCGACAAGTTCTTAACACACATAAGTTTCATTAGAAGTCAGTTTGACCACTGTGTTTACTTCATATTTCGACCTGGTAATTCACTTGTTATTTTGTTGCTTTATGTGGATGATATTATAATAGCAAGCAACAATGTTGAAGATGTAATGAGGGTGAAGGTTGAACTCAATAAGGAGTTCGACATGAAGGATTTGGAAGTTGTGTCCAGGATTCTTGAGATTGACATATGAAGAGATAGAAAGAAATCGAAATTATGCTTATCTCAAGAGACATACCTACGAAAGATGCTCAAAAAGTTTGGTATGTCGAATTCAAAAAGCCTTTTGTGACTTCGACAAACCCTTAATTCAAGGTGAGTATAGATCAATGTCCAGTACTAATGTCGAAAGAGTTTATATAAATAGCTTTCCATATGCTAACATAATGGGTTTTTTTATGTATGCTATGGTCTGTACTAGATTTGACATATCATATGCAGTAAGTCTTGTAAGCAGGTACATGACGAATCCTGGAAAGGCTCATTAGCAAACATTCTAAGGTACATAAATGATTCTATGAATAGAGTCATAATTTATGGTGGAGCCTTAGGTGAAGATAGTAAAGCAACAATCGAAAGATATGTCGACTCTGATTATTGAGGTTGTATGGATTCTAGAAAAACTATTTCTGGATACGTGTTCACTATGTTTGGGACAACAATTAGTTGGAAAGCAACACTTCAGAAGATTGTTGCCTTATCAACCATTGAAGTAGAATATATCATCCTAACTGAAACTATGAAGGAAGCTTTGTAGCTTAAAGGTTTTGCAAAGGAGCTGAAACTTTAAGGTCGAGTTGTCACTGTTAAATGTGATAGTCAAAGTGCAATACACCTATCGAAGAATTCAACCTATCATAAGCGAACCAAGTACATTAATGTGAGACTGCATTTCGTCAAAGGGGTAGTCGAGCGTGAAGAAATCCAAGTGCTGAAGGTTTCGACAGGATTATAATATTGTTGATATGTTAGGTTTTATTATAAATAGCATATTAGTCTCTCATCATAAGTATGGTGTGACAAATCCTAATTAAGGTGAGAGGGTTATTTGTTATTCTTGAGTACTTGTAATATATTTTATAGAGAAAGTAAAGAATAACAGTTATAACCAACCCTTATTGTTCTCCCTGTTTTTCCTTAACCCTAACCCTTGTGTGTTCCTTGATCATAAAGAAACCGTTTATACTTTGTTTTAAAGGCATCCTAATTCATAACACCAACCATAGCTTCAAGCACTATTGATTATGAATTTAAAACTGATCTCGTGATACGATATGTTAGTGTTATTACACCTTACAAATGCGGAAGTTAATTGAGAGAAAGATAGAGAGAGTGTTGGAGTGGAAGGGAAGAAAAGAGAGAGTAATGAATATTAAATGAGAGACGATTGTTATAAAAGAGATTATATATATAATTTTAAATTAGTACACAACAAATATTTGGCCGTAATTCTCCTAAATCAATATATTTAGAACTGTGAAGTGAGAATTATCATGTGCTTTGGAAGGGTTTGTTCTAATAATTGAGTTTGAGTGGTTCCATGCATTTAAAAATAATGGAAATTTCAATGATAAAGACAAAGGAAACTTCACTGAGAAAGCAATTCGACTTTATTGTTGTTTTGTAGTAAGCAGAATCTCTCACTTCACAGTTCTAAATATACTCCTAAATCAATATATTTAAAACTGTAAAGTGAGACTTATCACGTGCTTTGGAATGGTTTGTTCTAATAATTGAGTTTGAGTGGTTCCATGCATTTAAAAATAATGGAAATTTCAATGATAAAGACAAAGGAAACTTCACTGAGAAAGCAATTCGACTTTATTGTTGTTTTGTAGTAGCAGAATCTCTCATTGGATATATTGCATAACAACTCTGTCTACCTTAATATTTTGATAACAATCACCCAAAACCACAAGTTTCCCTTTACTATATACACATGGCAGAGAGCGCGGTTGCATTCCTTTTGGAACACTTATCCCAATTGCTGCAACGCGAAGCTAAGTTGCTGTCCGGAGTGGAAGACAAAATCATATCCCTCCGTAACGAACTCGAAATCATAAACATATACCTCAAAACTTCTTCTGAAGGGAACAACAACAAAGAAATAGAACAAAAGGTTCTGAGTCAGATCCGAGATGTTTCCTACTCAGCCGAGGATGTTATCGACACATTCATCACCAAAGTAGCCTTCTACAAGAAGAGAAATCTGCTGGGAAGAATGCTTCGCAGCGTTAAGCACGCTAAATTGCTACACGAGGTAGCAGAGAAAATTGACAATATCAAAACCGCACTCAAAGAGATACACGAAAACAAGATCAAATACTGTCAAGAAAGCAGTGATCAATCAACATCAGCAACAAAAGAGGAGGAGAGAATGAAATCACTTCACAGATTAAGAAGAAACGTGGAGGAGGAAAGAGTAGTGGGCTTTGTCCATGATTCTGAGGTAGTCATCAATAGACTCATACAGGATGATTCACGGCAACTTAATGTTGTTTCAATCATTGGTATGGGTGGATTGGGAAAAAACCACCCTGGCACGAAAAGTCTATAACAGTGATAAGGTGAAGAATCACTTCAATTGCCGCGCATGGGTTTATGTGTCAAATGAATGTAGAGCCAGAGAGCTTTTGCTTGGTCTTCTTCAAATTTTGATGCCAAACCATAATAGTGAAAGTAGAGGCCTTACCATCAAAAAGGGTAAGAAGAAACACAAGGAAGCTATGAATAATTCTTAAGACATTTCTAGCTTAAGTGATGATGAGCTGAAGGAAAGAGTGCGGGAATTCTTGAAGTGCAAAAAGTATCTGCTGGTTCTTGATGACTTGTGGAAAATACAAGATTGGGATGCGGTAAAAGATGCTTTTCCAGATGAAAATAAAGGAAGCAGAATACTGATAACCAGTCGTTTGAAAGAAGTTGCCTCCCATACTGGTCGAGATCCTCTTTACTATCTTCAATTTCTTACAGAAGAACTAAGTTGGGAGCTCTTTTCCAAAAGAGTGTTTAGAGGAGAAGAGTACCCTGGTGATCTGGGGTCTCTAGGTAAACAAATTGCTAAAAGTTGTGGCGGTTTGCCACTCTCAATTATGGTTCTTGCAGGATTTCTAGCAAATAAGGAAAAGTCACATCGAGAATGGTCCAAAGTGTTGGGTCATGTTAACTGGTATCTTACCCGAGACGAGACTCAAGTAAAGGATGTTGTACTTAAACTCAGTTTCGACAACTTACCTTCAAGATTGAAACCATGTTTTCTGTATCTAGGGGTATTCCCTGAAGATTCTGAAATACGTGTAAGGAAATTGTTGCAACTATGGATGGCTGAAGGATTTATACAAGAAACTGGAAGTAGAGATGCATATGATGTTGCGGAAGACTATTTGTATGAGCTCATTGATCGTAGTTTAATCCAAGTAGCACGAGTGAAAGATAGTGGAGGCATGAAAACATGTCGCATCCATGATCTTCTCAGAGATCTCTGCATATTAGAGGGAAAAGAGAATAAGATCTTTGAGGTTTGCACTGACAACAACATTTTAATCCCTACAAAACCTCGTAGATTGTCTGTGCATTCTAGCATGTCTCACTATGTATCTTCAAGCACTAATGACCACTCATGTGTTCGTTCTTTGTTTTGTTGTGATCCAAATTGTGTTTATCGTGACAAGTTGAAATGGCTTACCAAAAGCTTCAAATTGGTTCGGGTGTTAGATCTTGAAGGAGTGTGTTTTAAGGTTCCTTCGAACTTAGGGAATTTCATTCACTTGAGGTACTTAAGAATAAACTCACCATCTATTACCAGTGTTCCAAATTCTATATGCAACCTTCAGAATCTACAAACATTAGACTTTGGATCTTCACGCAGCTACAACACAACTTCTTTTCCCATTGGAATATCCAAGCTCAAACATCTAAGGCATGTGTATACTTTTGGGCATATCATGCTACGGGGCCCTTGTTTAAAATCAAATGTTGGTGTAATGTGGAACCTTCAAACAATATCTTACATTGCACTCAATATAGAAACAACACATCTCATAGAGAAAGGAAGTTTCCCGAAACTAAGAAAATTAAGCTTGCGTATCTCCTCAAAGTTCAAGGGTGATGTTAAGGGTGGCAAAATGGATGAATTGGATGGATATGAATTGGATTGTTAATGGATGGATCAAAATAATCCATTAATCCATTAACAATCCACTAACTCTCTTAATAAAAATCCAATCCAATCCATCCATTAAGAGATAAAATCCATCCAATCCATCCATTAACATATTTCTAATGGATGAATATCCATCCATCCAAAAAAATTAATTTAAAAATTCTTAATTATTTTTTAAATTTCATAAAAACATAATTTAAATATTTTAAATTATTTTTTAAAATTCTTAAAAAAACTTAAATTTTACAAAAAAAATAAAATAATATTCTTAATTATTTTTTAAATTTCATAAAAAAAATTAAATTTTACAAAAAACTCATTCTTCAAGTGTTTGATTAAAATTTTATATATTATTTTTATGCATATATCACATATATTAAAAAAATTAATTTAAATTTGTGATTTAATAATATTAAACTAAAAAGTGAAATATATTTTGTATCTTCTAACTATAAGAGAAACAAAATTATTTAGTGTCATCTATACTATAAATTGAATTATTATTGCAATATTAATAAAATTTATTTTTCTTTATAACATTAATTATTTTTTAAAATATATTCAAAATTTAATTACACTCATTTCTTCCTTTTCAACAAATAATTAAATATTTTATTTATAAAATAATTATTGTTACATTAAACTCTAAAATTGGTAATTATTAAGAAAATTTATTTTTCAGAAAAAAATAATTAAAAAAAATAATTAAAAAAAAAAGTATGTTGAATAAAGATATGAAAAGTAATGAAAAAGTGACATCGGTAATGGCTTTCCAAAAATCACGTGAGAAAAGAAATTACAGTACCATATTAAAATCACATAATTCCACACTATTAGAAATAATATAATATTTCAAAGTAATTAATATATAGCTGATACAATAGGCTATATGTACAAGAGTAGTTAGTCTAACGGTAATAATTAATTACCTTATTAATGTGAAACTAATATTAAAATGAATAATTAAATTGTGATTAAGAGTTGGTGTCAAAGAACACTTGTGAGAGACAAACATTATTAACACCAGAAGAAAAAAAATCTCCAATAATTTTCATCTTTAAATAAATTAAATCAACTTCAATAAAAATAATTAGAGTAAAAAAAGAAAAAGAAATAAAAAAAGTGAAATAAATAGTAATTCAGAGAAATATTTAAAATTACTAAACTGTCATTGATCCTCTACAAAGTTAATTTTTTATTTTAATGTTTCATTACCCATCAACAAATATTATTTTATAGCGTACACAGATAAATGATATTTTCTTCAAGAACTAAAATTATAAATTTCATAACCTATGCGATCTTTCATTATCTACTATAGATATTTAGATCTAATTTATGATTATTAAGTTTGAGTCCAACTTTTATCTTTTAAGAAATTCTGTTTTTTAATATATATATTACTTACGTTATTTTTTATAAGAGAAAATTTATTTTTTAGATTTATTAAATAATTAATGTATTTGATCAGTTTTTAAATTAAATATATTTATTATGTAATAAACTTAAAAATGTAAATTGTCCCTTGTAAAAAGAACAGAGATAGTATAATATATTCATATTTTCTATTAAATGTTATTATGACTAATAATTTTTATAACCAGTTTTCAGAATTCTTATTTTTAAAAATGAATTAATATATAAGAAAGTTTTAGTGTTTTAATGTCATAAATCTATTTTTTTTAACTTCTATGGATTTATAAGATCCATTAAAAATGAATTAATATATAAGAAAGTTTTAGTGTTTTAATGTCATAAATCTATTTTTTTTAACTTCTATGGATTTATAAGATCCATTAACTAATAATATAAGATCCAATGGATTTATAAGATCCATTAACTAATAATATAAAATCCAATGGATTTATAAAATGAGATGGATGGATTAAATCCATCCATATGAGTTAATGGATGGATTGGATCAAATTCATTAAATTATTTTTTGTCTTATGGATGGATTGGATGGATAAATTATTGGATGAATTGGATGTATAATATCTAAATGGATTTTATTGCCACCCCTAGGTGATGTACCCAAAATGCTGCTAAGCCTACAACAACTGAAACATTTGAATAAGTTAGAAATCAAGTTTGACTGGAATCATTCAGATCCGCGATGGGACATCAATTATAAGCATGCGGAAATTTTAGAAAGCTTGAAGCACTTGAGCCATCTGAGTATATTGAAAATTAGGAATGCACGTGAGCTTGTAAAATGTGTAGCCATGTTTCCTCCCAACATTACCAAGTTAACATTGATAGATGTTACTTTTCTGAATGAAGACGGACCCCTATTGGGAATCTCACCAAACTCCAAAGGTGGTCTTAACTGGACTCAGTCGAGACAATTGGTCTTCAACTTTTGATTTTAACTGTGTTGAAGATGGGTTCCCACAGCTGCAGGAGTTTGAAATGAGACTTTTGCCAATCCTAAGTTGGAAATTGGGTAATGGTTCAATGGCTTGCCTTCAAATCCTTGATATTGATCAATGTCATTACTTGGATAGCCTCCTAAGTAGGGGTGTTTAAATAAACCGGTTATTTAAATAATCCATATTTATATCCAAATCCGGTTATTAAAATCCGGTTAATTATTAGTATGGTTTTAACCAAATCCACATTTTGGATGTATTTTTAATATGATTTTAACTAAATCCATAATTTGGACATCTATATCCAAAATAAAAACCAAATTATTCAATTTTTTTAATTTGAAAAAAAAAAAATTTCTTTTGAAAAAAATTTTAATTTTTTTTTAAAAAAAAATATTGTTTTAATTTTTTTCAGTAAATAAATTTTTTTTCAAAAACTTTTAAAATATATATATATTTTAATTTTAAAATAACTAATGATTTTTTAACATCAATATTTTAAAAACTTTAATGCTAATTTAACAAAGAGTTCAAATTCTAAAATTAAATTTTAAAAGCTTATTTTTGAGAGTTTTAGTATGTTTGAATTTTACATCATTTAAAATATTGTTTGTACCTCTTCAATAATTTTACATAAATGGTATCCTTATTAATAATATCCCTAAATTTTACATTTAATCTTAAATAAACATTTTATTAATCCATAATCACCATCAACATTTTTCTATTATCACCAGCACCCTCATGTATTTCCTTAGCAAACTTAAACAAAAATCACTAGCCAAATCAAACCCTTTAGCTAAAGATTCCAATGCCACCATCTCAATAACTTTTCCAACTCCATACCCCAAATGAAAAAATCTGAATAAAAAGTAAAAATTTAATTTTTTTTGAAAAAAATATTGTTTTAATTTTTTTCCAGTAAATAACAAATTTTTCAAAATTTTTTAAAAATAATTTTTTTAAAATTTTAAAATAACTATTGTTTTTTTAACATCAATATTTTTTTTAAAAAAATATTAT